CACTCACAAACACATCTACAAACACACTCACAAACACATCTACAAACACACTCACAAACACATCTACAAACACACTCACACTCACTCACAAACACATCCACAAATACACACACACACACACACACACACACATTAATTAAAATTCACTTTCTAGCCGAGACTTTGAGCGCTGGAATGTAACTTCTGGAGCAAAGGGACTCTCAAGACACACGGTGTGGACAGTCCTTTCGAGTCCCTCACCATCAGAGTCACTTCCGCAACTGGCTCCAAAAGAAAGGCCATCGAGTACCACATGTCCCCACAGATTCTCTGTTCCCAGCTTGTCAGACTTCTGTGCTGGAAAGTGAAGTTGCCTGCTATGTGCTCTTGAAAGCTGTCTTTTTCTTTGTGGACTTTATGAATGTGTACTCTCGATAAATGTCCTGCAATCTGTTGTTTGTACAGCCCGGGAACTCTAAGTGCAGCGGCGTGTATGAGAACTGTATGGAACAGAGTGGCTCTACAGGTAGGTACGATGCCTCCCCAGCTGCCCCTCCAGCTCCTCTTGAGCCATAGGAATGCGTGGGCCCCTGCTCTCAATGGCAGACTTCAAACTAAACATGCAGTCTTTGGGGCTGCATGCTTCCCAGAGAAGCCAGCGTGTTAGCGTGTATCATCCAACAGCTTCACGCTTCTCCCTTGCTCTCGTGTGGTCCCTAATGGGTGGCTGCACCTCTGGGGTTTCACTCTGCTGTGACATCATGAGAACTCTCACTGGAAAAGGGTTGTCTTTTGTGCAAGGCTCAAGGAACTTCCACTCCAATAGTATGGAAAGAGATGCCGATTCCGCTGCGATTAGGACGTAACCTGGGTTCTAGTTTGGCAAAGGTAACGGAAGAGATACCTGAGATGCAAGGGCATCAATCCACCATCCTTGCCTTGGAGCTCTGTGCTCATCACTGTGTGTGCTCACTGCCATAGGGCAGACCTTCCTGTCACACAAACGCAAGGCCTCGACTGTCCTGTTAGAAATAATTTATAAAAGCACTTGTACTGCCGGCTAGTGGCTTCACTCTTATTGATTGTCAGGAATATTGACTTCAGAAGGCGAGTCTTGCAGGGTGAGGTGGGAAGGAACCGGACAGCCAGCTTTAGGGACTCAGCAGCCACCTGTCACCTTTCATATCTATTTCTGTCAGTGTAGCCTACTGGTTTTATTTTTATTTCATTGGAGACACACGAAGCGTATTTGTAGTGTATTTCTGATTGTCACCATTCTACAAGCTTGTAACAAAGGATTTGTGAGCTAAGGCAGCATTTTAACTTTCTAAAAACACAGTTCCTTTTGATAGAAATTAAAATTCTAGAGTGGCACTTGCCTTAGGTCCCAGCACTCTGGAGGCAGAGGCAGACAGAGTTCCGTGCATTCAAGGCTAGCCTGGTGTACTAGCAGTTTGGGGTCAGCCAGGGCTACACAGTGAGACTGTGTCTCAAGATATATTTTTCCATGAAATTCCGTACAGTCAATTAAAATCCTAAGTTAGTTACTCCTCAGCCTTTTGGCTGAGATCAAGTATACAACTCTAAACTAATTCTTAGTTAGATAACTGAAAGATGAAATCACCTCTGAGTGCAAATACCTCTGAAACCCTGCTCTCTAAGAAGAGTAACTTCTCCTCCCTTCTCCACCCAGGAATTCCCAGTGGGAGCTAACAGTGGGCTGGACCTTGCCCACTCTGCTATACTCTCAGCTGCCCTCCCGTGAAGCTGATTTTTCTGTGTCTCATGTGGTCTACATTTACTCAACAATCCCCTCAGTGATATTTATTGAAGCCTCTTGGGGCATTTAGACATAGAAGTAGATGTACATTTCAGCTCTCAATATTTTGAATATGGGAAGAATTAGAATTTGGGGGCAGAAGTATAACGTGATTAGGTCATTATTGCTTCTGAGCACATAACGCTGCTTAGACAGAGCTTGCCCTACGAGCAGAAGCATGTCTCCAGCCTTGACTGCCTTGCAACGATCTTTTAGTGGTGTTTGATGTGTGAAAGTAAGTTTAAAGTGGTACCCAACCCCAACTCCTTCTGACCAAGCAAGCAGTCATATGTCTCAGAGTGCACAAACACAATGTCCTGGCGGCCCCTCCCTCTGTAGAGACAGGGTCCTCCCTTGGGATTTCCTACATGCAAAGTATAACTCTGGTGAGACGACAGGAAGAGCAGACGAACAGGAACATACCGCATGAGGAACAGCATTGAGAGCGCCATCACACTGCTGGGCCTCTCTCGTCACCGTCATGTGCAATCTGGCGTGAGGCGTGAGCCTGTCCTGTTCGGACCACATCAAAGGGGTTGCATGACTGGAGCAATAGAAGAAGGAATGCCGTTTTACAGTCAGGCCATCAAGAGCCGTGGCCTTGGGTGCAGGGGGACATCACTGCTTCTGGTGCGACCTCATGACGATCCTGTACAGCTGAGACTTATAAAAGTGCCCATTTAAACAGAGACGCAAAAAGAGATATGTCCCGGCATCCTCAGGACACAAACATCTGGATGATGTGGAGTCCTTCATGCCATCAGATCAGGAGAGATTGCGCTAATACCCATGCAGCCAAAGACAATCGCGTGCCAGATGTGAAGCATTACAGCTGTGAACGAGGCGGACATTACCCTCGCTTTTACGGAACATGTAGCCGAATGTACTACAGACCTTAGCCAGTGGCAGGCATGAGAAAATGCATTACTCCCATGGAATGGCCTTCTCAGCGTGAGGCCAAGCTTCCAGGGAAGCAGAGAGTCATCAGTCTTGAGGGTGAGGGATGGTGCTACCGAAGAAAGAGGTTTTGACAGCTGAGGTTGAAGTGGCAATCACACTGCAGGAGGTCAGTGTGCCTCTGGCAGGACTGTCCCAGGGAAGCCAGGTAGATGGGGGAGCCCAGCAGAGCATGGAAGCAGCTAGAAGGCTTTTGAATCACCGGGAAATGGGATTGGATTTTCAGTCTTAAAGAGCCTTTGGCCCCAGTGTGTAGACTGGGAGGAGGTGGGAGAGCGCAGGCTGAGCGGGACGAGGGACTAGCCTGAGGGGAGAAGCCATTCTGCCAGACACAGCTAAACATCAGCAACCAGTGAAAGGCTGGCCTTGACAGGAAAAGCCTTTGAGAGGAGACGAGAACTAGACTTTCTGTTCTTAAGAACTCTACTTGAGGGCTGGAGAGACGACTCAGGTGTTACAAAAGGCTAGAGTTGCAACCCGAAATAAACTGTACTCGATTCATTCATTGGTTTACTTTTAAGTTAACATAGTGCAAAGGAAGTAAGACTTTGTATTCAGTAACACGTCCCTCAAGGGGGATTAGCGGTAGATGGTCAGTTCAGTACGATATACTTTCCTTCCTCCTGGACTATCATGTTGAGCTGGTGCTGTTTGCTAGGCAGGCCCTTGCGGTCCCTGGCCGTTTCTTTCAGGTCTTCTTGCTTATTTTGTAACCTGCTTTTGTCAGCGGCACAGCTGACCAAAGGAATGGGGCAAAGAGAGAGGCCAGAGGGAGGGTAGTTCTTCCTCAAAGACCTAAGTATTAGAGGTCAGTCCCTGTTTGGGGTGGGCTTGCGTGATGCACAGCTGCCTGTGGCTCCTCAGTTCAGACATGATTTACACATAACTCACTGTCCACTGCTAACCACTCCAGGTGTACCCCGCGAGAGAGGGATGCAGGGTGATGTTTCGCCAAAGAAGCACTCCTGCCGAGTGGATCTCTTTGATGACCCCTGCTACGTCAATACGCAAGGTCTTCAGAGTGCCCGTGGCTACACTGGAAATCAAAGCTCAACTCAAGGGAGCACATGGCATCTTGGAAGTAAGTGCCTTCCCATTGCCGTATTATTAGCATCCTGGTATTGTGGCATCCATACACTTGGCATCTGAGAACAGCAGCTCCCAGTCCTCCTGGTTATGAAGGCCACATGTCCAAATCAAGCTGTTGGCAGCCCTGACTTCTCTTGGTGACCCGAACAATCTGCCTAGTGCCTCTGTCCTTGTGTCTGCGGTGAACTGGTAAAAGACAATGCTTGGCTTACAGAAACTCCAGTCTCTGTATTGACCTCACATGTTCTGCTTCCTGAGGCTCCCTTCTCTTTGCCCGACAGGACAAGTCACTGCATTTGGGTGAGATGAGGTGATTGCGTAAGACCCTTAATTTGGTTATATCTGAAGAGACCCTTTTGCTGAATAAGACAGACAATTAAGACTTGAACGTTATCTTTTGAGGGACCACTATGCATAGAAGACTCTTTCCTTGGCTTCATCTCTGGGGAGTTAAGAACATTTTTTAAAATTTTTTAAAAATTACATTTATTTATTTTTGTGTGTTCACACACATGCACAAATACATGAAAAGGCACTGAGGACAGTCTTTAGGAGCGGGTTCTCTCTCTTCACCTTGTGAGTCTGGGTATTGCCCTTGCGTGTGAGGTTTCAGGCGAGTGCCTTTCCCTGCTAATTCTTGACTTGTCCTTCGCTGTAGCTAACGACAAATCAGATCTTTGTGGACATGCTAGGGATTTTAAGGACTTGGTGCATGGTTTTTAAATAATTCTTTCAACACTGAATTTACTCCCATTTCTTTTGACTCTCTGGTGTGTCAAGGAAGGGCTCTCAAAGCCAGCTGGTAATCCTATTTCTGTGTCTTTGCAAGAAAAGCATCGGCCACTATGTCTGTCCTATTTGGTGGCAATGCTAACTTTAATCACCTGGAACCCCTTGCTAAGGCATCTCTACAGCACTGACCTGAGATGCTCTTCTCTTCCACCATACACTTCATCTGTGGTCAGAGACAGTGAGGTGAGCAACCGCTTTCTCTCCCGACTTGCTTGGGGCAGTGAGTGCTTAAGTAGGAACCCAGATAAATAAACGCTAAATGAGCCCAAAGCCTAAAATCTTTCGAGAAATAAACATTTCCCACAAAATACTGGGCTCGGGGATTGGTGTGACACCGAAGTTGACCTGCTCCGACGCTTGGGGAGGGCGGGCCTGCCACTGCCCAGGATGTTTGTTTCCTCACAGCTACTGAAAGTTCAGCACTTCAGCCAGGGCGGCTGTGAGTGACTTTTCAAAGGCTTTGTTGGGCCTGACCTTCAACATTGTCAGCCATGTGACAGGTGCTTTCCCTTTTGGCAGAAAAGTGAGATCGTTCTTCCCATTCAGTCCACCCGGGCTCATTCTCTAGAAGCAAATGCTGAGGCAGAGGTTGGCGTTTCAGGTCTCTAGGCACCGGTGAGGAAGAGAATATGACTGGACAGAGGGGAAGGTGGGACACAGCCCAGGCCTGTGAGAGCCTTGGCCAACTCCACGCAGAGCCTGTATGTTCTGTCAGCCTTGTCCCACACAGGGCCCAAGTGAAGTGGTCTGTCTAGCCCCAAGAATCTGTCTGGATGTGGGCCACCTGAGGCAGGGCAAGCCTTTGGCTGCTGAGGTAGCCCCAAAGAGCTAGTCATCTGGAAGCTGACTGCTGGGCCAGGGTAGAGTGGGTGAAGGGGGAGCACCTCTGTCCGGGCAGAGGGAGTGCTGTTGGGTGGTGACGGGATATTCATTTCCAGTTGCTGCAGCGAGTCCATGTGGTTGTCCAGAGTGATCAGGCCTCAGTGGATAAAGGCAATATTAGTTACAGAGATGGCCTCCAAGGGACCTGAGTAGACCTGGCCTTTTGTTCTAGACAAAGAAATAATAGAAGTGGCCGAGTTAATCCCAAATGAATCCCTGCTAACAGCTGAGAGCAAGCTTGCCTTGTTCGGACCTCAGTGGTTTTATCTTTAACCTCTCCCTTCTGCCTGCATCGCTGCCAGCCCTTTTCCTGATGCTCTCTCCATCTTAGTGTCCAATAGGATTCAATGTGCACAGCCTCCTGGGCCTTTGAGGATTAATCCCTAAGGAGTAATGCCAGCTTGCCGTTCCTCCCCTCAAAAATCAAACCCAAGTTCAAATGCATTTTTAAAATGTCAGTTGAAGAAAATCTTATGATGAGTTAGAGCTGTGGAAATTTTTTTTTACTTTTTTTTTTTCTATAAAATGCCTTAAATAGATCTTCAGCTTTTCTCTGTAATTGTTCCTCCTGTTTCCCCTTCCTGAAAAACCCTCCTAGCCCTAGGACAAAACCAAGCATACACACACACACACGCACACACACACACACACGAATACACACACATGCACACACACACGCACACACACACATGCATACACACACACACTCACACAGAGACACACACATGCGCACGTGCACACGGAGTCCTGACTAGCAGAGATCCTCGCTCCACCCCACCGCACTGCAAACAGGAGGTGTCCTCACAAAGCCTCAGCTCTTATTGGCACTGGCGGGGTCGTTCTCTAACTCTGCTGCAACCAATATTAACATCCATAGCAAAGGAAGCTCCCGGATACTGAAGCATAAGATGGACTGGCTTATTTATTTCTACCTACTTGTTTAAGTGTTGGTGGCACAGGGCTGGGATCAGGCAGAACATCTGTCTTCCCTGGCTGGTTCAAGGTCCTTCTCTGTATTTAGGCAGTGACAGGAGAGGCAAGGGTAGTGTGTGAATATTCCTTTAAAGAATGTCACCCAAAGTGGCAGACATCACTTCTTCTCACTGGAAGACATCCATTTCTTCATGTGCCATTGTGGAACCCAGACACGTGGCCACAGCTTCCTGTAAGGGAAACTGGAAGTTACTCTATCTGGGTGCGGGAGTGTGGTGGCAGGGAGGACACCACCTGTGGGCAACCAGCTGTCTCTGCCGCTGTGGACCTGGCCCTCAAACAGCCAAGTGGCGCTCCAGCTACATGACACACAGCATGCAATGGCCGTCCTTGTCACCTGCCCAACCGTCTTCCCTCACAACTGCCCGAAAACTCACACTTGCAAAGGGACAGCAGTCACTAGGAGTCCTTCTGAGCCAGAGCCAGGACCACTTGCTTCAAGCCTGGCTCGCTTTTGCAAGACGACTCTTGCGGTGCTCCTCGCTTGTTTCTGCCATCACCCTCCACGTGTCCGCCTAGACTAGATGCCAGTGGCTGTCTCTGGAGTCTCCACCTCTTCCAGCCTGTTTCATGTTGCCGTGGCATGAGTTGGAAGTTTGTTTGGGGAGCCAAAACACATAACAAGGAGGCATGTGATTTTCTTGGCGATGCTGTTTCTTCAGGGTACAGAGTATCCCTTCTGTTGTCGCTTCATTGTCCTGTGGATCCCTGGTAATGGCTCCTCTCTCCGGCTGTGTTCTTGTTATCTGAGTGGGCCTTTGTTAGGTTTGTTGGTTTTACCAATCTTACTGAAGCATCTGGGCTTTTTGTTTTGTTTTCTGTTCGATTGGCCTCCATTCTTATCTTCACTGTTCCCAACATATGTCCTTTTGATTAGCTTCTATTGTATCATCTTTTATAGGCTTTATAATTTATTACCTCTTGACCTGTTATACTTTATATGAGATAGTGAGTCTAGTTTAGTGTTATGTGAATCAGCTTTCCAAACGCCGTTGATTAAAAACTTCTTTCTCCCCTGTTGCCGCTCTGTGATACTAAGGTCCTGTGTATGTGCATGCATTTCTGGGCTCCTTGGTACACTTTCTCTGTTGGCAGCCCCTTGTTCTATACCACTGTACTCAGTACCATGTCCTAAATCAACATAGTTTTGTAATTTTCTTAACAGGCACATGAGTCTTCCTTTATATTAAAAATATTTTTTCTCTTTATATTTATATTATTATTATTATTATTGTTAGACAGGGTCTCACTATGTAGACCAGGCTGGCCTTAAACTCAGAGATCCACCTGCCTCTGCCTTCTGAGTGCTGAGATTAGAACCATAGCCACCATGCCTGGCCTTGGGGTACTATCTTAACCTCTCATCTATGTTTAACATTTTTTTTGGTCAGAATTTTCTAACAAATTTTCAGGCACTTTATGGAGGTGTGCTCTTACTTTCAACAATACAGGTAAATTCCCGTCATACAGTCTTATGTCCTTTCTTGGTATTTACAGGGTTATAGTAGGGTGAGTTAGTCGTGCCCTCAAATCAATACTCAGGGTGCTTTGGCTGGGATCTGTAGACATGCATAGGTCACAGAAACTCTCAGCCTAAGGTCCACGTTCCCAGCTGACATCAGCAAGAGAAACTTCTACCTCATTCTGGTTTTCATGCTCTAAGCACTAGTTTAAGCCAAGTATAGTGGTATAGTTCCAACACGTGGGAGGCTGAGCCGGGAGTCACAAGAGTTCAAGACCACACTGGGCTACATAGTGAGTTTGGGGACAGCCTGGGCTACCTAGCCACACAAAATGAAGACAGAACAAACAGAAACCTTAAATGTCCTTCTGTGGTACATTGGGCACCATTTCTTTACATTTTTGTTGTCCCCTTTTGTTTGATGGTTTCACTGTTTAAAATGGTCCCCAATCACTGATACTAAAGTAATGTGTAGTGTTTCTAAGTCAAAGTAAACTGTGAAGTACCCTCATGAGAAAAGACAGGTTTATAAACACATCAGTCAAGTCTGAATTAAAGCGCCCTTGGCCATGAGGGCAGTGTTAACAAAATATGCCCACCCTGTATCTTTTATCCAAAACCCACGTGAGGTAAGACCGGGGGTTCACTGAAGAGACTGTTGTGGACCGAGGCTAGTTGGAAAGGAGACCCCATGTCTCCTGCAGGGGCGATGGCTTGTTTCCACTAATCCACATCACAGCAACTTTCTGTTGAGTGGCCAGAACCGGCCACACTCTGGGTCCTCGGCAACAGGCTGCAAGGTCATGTGCCGAGGGGGAGTAGGGTGACTTCAGAAGATGGGAAATTCCCCTCACACTTGATGGTCTCCTCAGAATTTGCACCTTCCAGTTGTATCCTGAGTTATGGGACTGTCCTGACTTTTGCGTGCATTTTATTAGACATTTTTAAAATTCAAAAGTTTTGTAGATGCTCACAAACACAAATAATAAGGAATGGACTAATTGAGAAATGAAAAACCCTCCTTCCAAGCCCGACTCTGTACCCATCACTCCAGACGTGGACAATTTCCTCCACTTCCTCTCCGTGCATTCTTAGGGCCTATTACCCCTCTGCCCATCCTCACAACGAGCACTCCCCTTTGCACCCGCCCTTCTGTTCCAGAACAAGTGAGCTTGTGCACTGTGCATTGTAAGCACACAGCCCACTTAGTGTCAGCTGTCACACAGGAACAAGGTCGCGAGTACTGCCCCACAGCCTTGAGCCGTGATAGCTGGTGATGAGACCAAGGCTGATCTTTTCTTTGTTGTTGGTTCCCAAATTAAAACAAACGAACATACTTAACTTTTAAAGTTAAAATGAACTGGAAAATCTCTCATGTAGTTTGCTTCTAACAGAATCTGAGCTAAGAGAACATTGGCAATTACTCGGCACGCGGTGCCTTGTCCTTGCCCTAATCTGGAACCCGTGTGAGAAAACAATGTCTGCATCCCCAGGCTGGCCCACGGACTGTGGACTCTCTTCAAGATGATATAATGTCTCTTTTCCTTTGTTTTGTCCTTGTCTAAAAGCCGTCCACAGTCTCTGAGCAAACCAAAAGCGCACACCGCAGCCAGCCGCCTGCACCCTCACCATGCATGGCTGCATGCATTGCCTCATGCTTATGGGAAGCATGCCCCTGACATGATGCATGCCTGCATGCATTGCTCTGCACTCGTGTGGAGCCTGTCTCTGATACAAACACACACAGGGCTGCTCATTAGAGTTTTCCATTGTGTCCAAGAACAGGCAGCACCAAGGCCAACTACAAGTATTACTCACCGTCTGGACACATTTCCCCAGGCCCTTTCTGGCACTAGTGGATGATGATTTGTGGGGGAGCATTCTTTCCAGTCATTAGCTTTAGACTGAAAATTTTTTTTACAAGATATGTTTGTGGTGCTAACTCTAACTGTCCTATGCACATAGACTTTCTTAAGTAGGGCAGGGCTCCAGCACACTGACAGGGGACTTGGGCTATCAACGACTAAACAGCTTGGTGGAATAGAAGCTGCACAGTTTGCTGAGACCCTCCCAGAGGGCCTGTAAACGTTCCTTTGTGTTAGTGAAATAAAGAGTGGTTTCTATGCAAAAGATCCTTTGCATTTCAAAACACAGTGCTGGTTTCTGTGATTCATTTGCTTTGTTAATTTGCCACCAACTATGTGACTTTGACCAAAATTCCATCATAAAGATTGATATAGTTATTATTGTTGGATTTTAAAAAGCTTTATTTTAATTGTATACATATATTATATATTAGGGTTGTGTCATAGTTAACTGCCCCCCCCCTTAAGTATGTAGTGCCCATTGTGACCAGAAGAGGGAGCCAGGTCCTGTGGAACTAGAAGTACAGGCAGTTGTGAGCCAGCCTGTGGGTCATAGGAACTGTTTTTAACCTCCGAGCCATTTGTTTTGCTTTGAGGCTAGCAAGGTCTCATTGAGTTGTATAGGTTTGTCTCAAACTTGCTCGGTCTAAGTGTGCTATGTCTAGGAGATGGTGTACATCATTGTCCTGGCAGTACTGTCCAGGACAGCCAGGACTGTTACGCAGAGAAACCCTGTCTTGAACATTTGGAAAATGGGAAGGTTTTTACATCCAACATCAGTGCGTTGGAGTTTGACTTTAAAAACCCAAGCTTTTTAGTCAGACGGTCCTTGTTTCAAATCCCAGATCTTTTGAAAATAAAATAACACAAATTATGTAAGGTTCTTAACAAGAGCCTGTTTAATAAACGAGAACCACACAGTGGTTACTATCGCCATGAGCCACAGCAGCACTGGGCTCACCGGATGTGCTATGCTCTTATTCCCGATGCTCCCAGTCTGGGACGGCCCTTTCTTCTATCTTTGGCTGGAGCCTAGCCTTGAATGGCTGAGCATCTCCCCGGCCTGGGACAACACTGTGTCTAGGACCCTGGGAAGCTGCCCTAGGCCAAGCTCCGCTGATACTTTGTTCCCTCGCCTCCCTTCTGCAGTTCTGACAGGTGAATGGTATTGACCACAGCCTGGCCATTTAACAATGCTAAGCTAAAATGTTTGCCCAGAAGAATGCCTAGGTGCAGTAAATTTACAAATATAGCAACTTATAAACTATCATAAAAATGAAAATGAGCTGGGTGGTGGAGGCACACACCTTTAATCCCAGCACTTGGGAAACAGAGGCAGGTCTGAGTGTGAGGCCAGTATGGTTTACAGAGGGAGTTCTAGGATAGCCAGGACTACACAGAGAAACCCTGTCTCAAAAAACAAAACAAAAACAAAACAAAAAAAAAAAAACAAAAGAAGAAGAAGAGAAAGGAAGAAAGAAAGAAAGAAAAGCTAAATGTTAAAAAAAAATGGGCAAAATCCAAAAGTTCTGTTGTGGCTTTAAAAAAAAGCTTTGAAACATTGCAGATGTTATTTCTGAGCCAGGTTCAGCATAAGCTTTTTCATTTTTAACAAGAAGCCCCTGGAAAAGAAAAGCCCCTTTCCACAGTTGGAGAAGCAGTTCTCGGGCTGATTTCACATCCCACTAAAGTAGAGACTCTCTTGTGCCTGGTAACCTTTCCCAGTGATAGAAGGCAATGCCAAGGTTTAAACTAGAGTTGCCGGGCAGGATGTGTGTTCTATGGTGGGGTTTAAACAGGGCTTTGAACACAGAAGGGAGGAGAATGGACTCATGAGGGGGTACTTTGTGACGTCTCTTTTCTTCTGATTGTTTTAGAGGCACCAGAGACTGTGCAGCCGGGAGCCACGGCCCAGCCCGTGAGCTCACGCTCTTTGTCACACATAAAGCAACAACTTCAGAATGAAGAATGCTTCCACGGCAGGCTGAGCAGGGGGGCAGCAGAGAGACTTTTGGTGAAGGATGGGGACTTTCTGGTTCGAGAGAGCATAACGTCTCCTGGTCAGTATGTGCTGAGCGGACTACAGGGTGGTCAGGGAAAGCACCTCCTCTTGGTGGACCCTGAAGGCAAGGTAAGCCTGTGTTCTCGTTACACGTCACACTCTGCGTCTGCACGTCATATTCAGTAGAGGTCATACTCTGCATCCACATGTTTTATGTGTAGTAGAGGTCAGGTGCTACACGTTAACTTGTCCTTGACCACGAAGCCAAAACTAGTGGTGTGGTTAGAACTTGACGCCACTCTGGAGCATGGTGCGGGGGACAGTGTCTTTCTGCCTTTTTGGCTCTGCTCAGTGGACAAAGCTGT